ACTCATCTTCGTGTACTTTGTGCCATTGCCACACTGTATCTTTCTTTAACAGGTCTCTTAAGTGCTTGTTTTTGGCAAATAAGTTATCTATAAAAGGGCTTAAATAGTTAACCATCCCGAGAAAGCGTTGGAGTCCGGGAGCATTTGTTGGAACTGGCATTTCACTAACGGATTTAATCTTATTGTCATCTGGCCGTACTCCATTCTCACTAAAAATATGTCCTATAAACTTTATTTCAGTTTTGAATATATTTGATTTAGATCTATTAAATCTTAGACCCACTTTTTCAGCTCTAATTAAGACTTTGGATAGAATTATATTATGTTGTTGTATACTTGGCGCATGAATAAGAAAATGTATATAACAAGACCCTTTATATCACCAAAAAGACGTATCATCTCTGCGTGGAAAATTTCTGGCGCGGAGTTTATTCCGAATGGCAAACGTAAAAATTTGTAGCGGCCAAAAGTAGTTGCGAATGTACAAAGCTTAGATGATTCCTCATCTAAGGGAATCATCCAGAATCCCGAATTCGCGTCTAAACTGCTGAAAAATTTTGATCCGCTCATTTGAGATTTACACTCATCTAAGTTCGGAAATGAAAATCGTGGCCTAATTATAACTTTGTTAAGATTTCGCGGATCTAAGCAAAGCCTTAGAGTCCCGTTGGCTTTTGTGACCAATACTACGGAGTTCACCCACTCTGTTGGTTCTCGCACCTCAGCAATAACGTTTAAACTTTTCATGCGATCAAGTTCTTTTCTCAAAGGCACTAACAAACCAAAAGGTATGCGTCGCGGCGGATCTACTGACTACTTTCTTTTAACTGCAAGTGACTTTTATTTTGCAATTGACCTAGACCGTTGAATACCCCAACGTATTTTTCTAAAATATCTTTGCATTTTATCGACTTCACTATTTGCACCAAATTCATTTTTACCGCCAAATCCAAACCCATAACACTTTTACAATCCATATTTAAAATATAAAATTTTGCAAAATATGTAGCATCGTCGAATCGCACTTTCAAATCAGCGCACCCTACTACTGGAAGCTTTTCACCACTGAACGTAACAATATTGTTCAATACCTTTTTATTAATCTTACATACGTCTAGTTTTTTAAGCATTTTTACCGACATCAGATTCGCCTGCGCGCCCGTATCTATTTGACAGTTGACTTTGAATCCATTTATATCCACATCGACGTTCCATTCTTTCATAGTCTCTTTTGGCTTTGTTTCCTGAAGCAGGCCCACAAACAAATCGTTGTAGAGTTCATCTTCTTCAATCCCAGTCCGTTCCTCGGTGATATTTTTTACGAATTTTTTCTTCCTTCTTTGCTCCGTCTGTTTGTTGTTGGTTGTAAAGCACATTTTAGCGAAGTGATTCGGTTTTTTGCATATGTGACATATTGCACCTTCGGCCGGGCACTTGACACGATGTACCTGACCACATTTTTTGCATCGATCGCCTGATGTCTGCTTCTTCTGCTGTTGGAACGGCTCCGTTGTTCTTTTGCCTTCTTTGCCACGACTTTTTATCGCTGCTATCATCTCGTCAGATGTTGTTGTTGTTGTTTGCGTTGCTGCTGCGTTCTCCCTTGCCATTTCAATGCTTCTGGCAATTTCGAATGCTTTTTGCCATTTAATTTCACCTTCGCTTAAAAGGCGCTCCTTGATATTTTTGAAGTTTGGCGACAATCCGCATACAAAAATGTCTTTAACGAGGTCTTCCCGCAGATTACCAAATTCACAAGTCGCACTCAAGTTGTGTAAAGCAGTTGCATACTGACTTAATGTTTCATCTAGCGCTTGTCTAATAAAACAATTGTGACGCTCCATTGCAAGATTAGTCTTGGGAACAAAGTACTCGTTAAACTTTTTCCACAAATCATTGTATTTCACGCTGTCTATATCCAAATTAAAAGAATAAATATTTCGAAGGCCTCTGCGCCAATGTGGTGCAGTAAAATCTCCACTTTGCGTCTATCCGACTGTTCTTCTAAATTGGACGCCAGGAGAAACACTTTGAATTGGTTACTCCAATTTTTCCACTCTTGCGATAGGTTTTTGGCTTTTGTGTTTAATGGTGGCAAATTTGCTGCCATTGAAATAAATTGGTTCTTCATATTGTTTGACGTCTGATCTGACACCATGTTATATGTTTGACTTCTAATTGACGACTGTTTTATTTCATGTTCTTGCTAGTTGCATATTCATTTACAGGGTTGTATTTTAAAGTACTTAAAACTATAATTGAATTACACAACAGAGCCTGAAATATTTAACGGACCATCTGCCCATAGTCATCCTGGATCGGTAAATCTGCGGACTTTGCTTCCGCGGATCACAGGACCTATGTCAACTTTTCCAAAGCTGACTGTAAAGGCTTCGCGGATGTTCACTGCCCCACCCGCACCAACCGACGTTCACGTAGGTGAGCGTAAATTCCGTAGGGTTGTCACTGCTGCTGCAGCCCGCTTCGTTCCAGCGGGATGTATCTCGGAGCCCCGTCCGAATTTTCTTGCTGAAGCGGCTGTCATAGCCGATGAGCATGTCAACCTTCGTCAGGCCGCTCCCGGAAATTCCCGTATCAGGGATAGCAACTCGGCAACTTGTGAGCGTACATAAGGGGACGAAATGGAAAGCGCATCTGAAGCCCTGCAACTTGGCCTCTGGTGTGAATAAGCTTTGGTCAACAGTGAGGTCATTGTCCAATCCGACAAAGCGTGACGACAGAGTTGAAATAGACTTTGGTGACCACGCTTCGTCGGACCCAGAGCGATGCGCGAGCTATTTTAGCCGGCAGTTCATACTTACAAAGGAGAGTCCTATCGCCCGATAACTCTCCTTTCCCCGGTGGCGAAACCACTAGAGGCCCTTCTACTCCCGCACTATACAAACCACCAGACCCCAGCGAGTCATCAGCATGGGCTCCGTAAATTCCACAGCACAACAACAGCGCTTAACGCTATAAATACCCAGATAACTCGTGGCCTAAACCGACACCGTCTCTGTGAGAGAACCATTCTAGTACCGCTGGGCCTGTCAAAGGCGTTTGACACTGTCAGCCATTCAACGCTACTAGAAGACATAGAGGCCAGGCCTCCTCTCTCCCATAGAGGCTCAAACGGTGGTCGGCGAATTATCTGAGTGGCGACACTAGAGGCCTTGCTGCTCCCGTATTTCACGAACCGCCTGACCCCAGCGAAGCATCAGCATGGTTTCCGTAAAGTGCACAGTACAGCAACAGCACTTAACGCCATACACACTCATATAACTCGTGGCCTTAACCGCAACCGTCCCTGTGAGAGATTTATTATAGTAGCGTTGGACCTGTCAAATGCGTTCGACACTGTCAGCCATTCAACGCTAATAGAAGACATAGAGGCATCCTCTCTCCCCGGAGTCGGGACGGTGGGCGGCGAATTATTTGAGTGGTCGTCACTCGTCAGTAACTTTTCAGGACAAATCGAGCAAACCCAGGAAAATAAAACAGGGGGTTCCACAGAGTGGTGTCCTTTCCCCATTACTGTTTAACTTTTACATTTCAAAGCTCCCTCAACCACCATAGGGAGTCTCGATTGTGTCTTATGCTGACGATTGTTCGATCATAGCGTCTGGGAATGGAATTGATGACTTGCGCCCGAAAGTAAATGGTTATCTCGCCGAGTTTTCTCGCTTCTTCACTGCACGGAGCCTAACCCTCTCCCCTACACAATTTTCAGCCAAACTGTTGACCACCTGGACGAAGGGAGCCAGACTACAACTTGGAATGTCGATGACGAACCAATTCCGACGGTGAACAACCCGAAGATCCTCGGAGTAACCTTCGACAGTCTGCTCTCCTTCTCGGCGCATACAACCGCAATTGTCAACAAAGTGCAAAGCCGCAACAAGGTCTTCAAGTCCCTAGCCGGCAGCACCTTGGGCAAAGACAAATAAACCTTGCTGACAACATACAAGGCAATTGCCGGCCGGTACTGAACAATGGAGCGCCCGTGTGGTCACCGGGGACAAGTAGGATGCAGTGGATGAAGCTGCTACTTGCCAAAATACGTCACTCAGTACAGCGACAGGATGCCTTCTGATTTCGCCGCAACATTACCTGCACGACGAAGCCCAAATGCTCCCCGTTAATGAGCATAACAATGCTCTGCAAGAAATTTCTAATGGCCGGTATGCGGAGAGACTGAACCCTACTCTACTGACGCCCCTCTCCATATGGGCGGACCCCAACGCGGCTGCATGCTTCCTGGGGCTACCGCGAGTAGAGCTCGTCGACAACGATTGAGGGACTAACCGATCCGGTCGGGGTTGTTGTAGCCGCTACAGCAAAAACAACAACATTAAGAAACTCACTTCACATTTATGCATTCTCAACGAAAGAATCTATTGAAAAGTATTGACGGTAACTTACGGCAGAGGGTATGTGGACGACTTTGAAAGAAAAAATAGAATGGTAAGAGCAAAGTCAAAGACCTTCAACTGGAGAATTTTGTGACAGTAAATAGTTGGCAATTTTTTGTTGTACTTTGCTTTGAAGATGTTTCTTTCTTGCAAGGGAATGTCAGAGAATGGGCAAATAGTGATAATTATGTTATAATAGGGCGGGTCGAAAATCTAGTTTTTCTCGAATCCCTTGGTAATAGTGAAAATATCTTGTATCATGAAGTTAACAAGCCTGCAAGATATTAGTCTTTTATTTTAATTGTGAGAGTCCGCGCATCGACCGCCAGGTGGCCCACAGCACACTAGTCGAATAATACCAGTTCTTCGCCCTAATTATGAGTTGCATTCGATTTTCGATCTTCGCTGGATCTATCGCAGATCGAAGATCGAAAGTGAAATTCGTTTTATGAGCTATGCAAGCGTGTAAAAATTTTCGTTGAGTATCGAATTTTCTGTCGAATAGAATTCTGTTTTCGTTGGTGTATCGAACTGTCTGGTTTTACTTATGAAAGAAAATCCCAATACGCTGTTGGCACGATCTCTGGGAACAATATTATGGAGCTGTTTATAGTTTTAATATATTCAAAATAGATTTGGATCATAAAATTTCTTAAATATATTGTATGTCAAAATATATTCGAAAGACTGCCCTTAAACTCTCTTAAAACGTTTTCTGCTCCTGGCCAGTTTTCTAAGCTCTCATCCTCTGACGAATCGACCAATCAGAACTCCGTTGTACTAATTAAACTTTTTTTTTACCACGTTTTTATAAACTCGCTTTCTTTTGTTTCATTTTAATTTGCACAAATTTACATATGTATAAGCACACTATTTAGTTTGCTCGATTTGTAAACAAATGTATTGTGAACACCCTAAGCACTCACCACTTTCGAAGATCGAATGCAACTCATAATAGGGGCCCTTGTTAAAAATTCTGGGTTCAGCAAAAAGGTGTGGTGCATATTATTAGATAATGAATCCGTTAACGCAAAAGATAAGAGCCAAATATCATTTCTCGCAGCCCTTTAGCTTATCGCTAATCTCAAGCTTATCAACGAAATTGTAATTGTGTTGTTGATAATTGCACTGGCCTATAGTCAAAAGATGTAAAGAACAGCATTAATATTGCTGGCGTGCATTTAGGTCGCTGGTCCCAAATATTTTAATCTGTTTTTAATATTAGCTACAGTTTGCGAATTTTTGCAAATTTAGGAACAATATCGGTAGCTCTAATAGAAAAGCCATTATTTTCCATCATCGTGGAAAAATTTTGTTTATGAAAATGAGTATGGAAACATTGAACAGGTACAACTTCTAGAAACACTTATAGTTTACTTATGTTTATGCATACAATATAAAAATTGCAAATATAGGAAAATGACAAAAAAAAATTGTTCAACATTTTTTTTTTTTTTAATAATTTGTTTATAATCTGAACGATTTTCATCGTATTATTATTATAAATCAGTAACAGTAAGTCTCGTCTTCAATTTGATAATTATTACGTGCCGATCGAGTAACATTTACCAAAGTTGTATCGAGCAACTTAAGCGGATCTGCAGTTTTTTCTAAAAAAATGTCTTCAATCGTTTTACCTTTATATATAACCTTTAAATGAAAGAACCGGATTAAAGAAAAGTGTGCCAGGGAATGACTTTTTTCGTTCATGCTGAATGCAAAGCAATATCGTCCAATTGGGGAGTCTTCAAAAGGATTTCCCAGGATATGTTAAAGACTATTGCATATACCTACAGTCACTTTCTCACATAATGGAAAACTAAAATATTTATGTATATCTAAACACTTATTGCACGTCCCCTACTTTCATGTAACGACAAATTTAGAAACCGCGAAAAATGTGCTTCTTCGGTGACTAATGAAATGGGCGTTTCTCACCCTAATTGTATTATGTTAATGTATGTAAATACTTATATGCTTGAAACTAATATTAACTTATCTAACGATTCCTAATCTTTGACAATAGATGTTTTACTTCATTCACCAGGATCTAGAAAACTGACCAAGGCGTGACCAAGTTAATGGTCCTTTAATATTAAATAAACATCCGAAAACATTAAAACGTTTGAAATAAATCTCGTCTCACTTTTTTGTATTTTTCACTTGGTTGCTGAAGTAAGGAAGAATTGAAAATTCATAAGAGAAAATTATAGTTGTGTGTTTTATCTTAATAGCTTAAAAACTTGCAGACCTTTTGAAAAATGATAAATGAACGTGAGGTACTAAACTTAGTAACCCTTAATTTGATATATCTTCCTGTTTATTACAATTAACGCCTTCCATAGATATTACAAGCCAAAGTTTCATTTTCAAAATTCATACACTTTGATTCAATTGCGCGGGCTAAACATAAGTTTTAAATTAATCTTTCGTGGCCAATAACAATTGGCTTAGACGTAAGACATCATAATATTATTATTACAATACGGTGAAATGCCTTTTATTTTCCCCCATACAAAATCGACCCAGCCTAATGTATGTATAAGCAACTGAAGGTACTTATTGCAAAAATCATTCCTATACCTTCATATCTGTACTTTTTCTAACATCTTTGAACATTTTTAGATGCTCGCTAACTGGAAAAATCAAACCATGTTGTTGTTGCTTTTCGTTTCTGGTTAAGAGGTTGTTGTACTCTTGAACAAGAGTCACTCCCCTTTCTGCAATGTCAAAGAAAAATATCTTTCGATCGTTTTGAACTAACTCCTATTGTTCTTTTTTTTAGTTTCTCTCCATTTTGATGTGATCGTCCCATCCGGGTTGTTATTCTCTTCAGTGTTTCAAGGTCATACACAGTGGTAGCTACACGTAAATTGACACGATTTTAACCCCACTCACATACAGTATTGGCCAATACAATAGCACCCCCATTTCAAAGTAATATTGTTTGCCACTCATGTTTATTTATTTAGTTTTAGGTATTTATCTCACCAAACTCACATAAACTCAAGTTTAAAACTTTTTAAAAGACCGCAAAAAAGTGCAACAAATTTTCACCCAAATTTCAAACTTTTTTCTCAGAAGCGGTAGAATTTTTTTGAATACACAGTTTTATAGCCCATTCAATTTTAGTCTAATAATGTGCAAGTTTCAAGTGGCTAAAAATTACCGTTGATTTTTTAGAATTTTTTTCGCAGAGGATGTTGCGGGTTTCTGCCATATAAAAATAAATTGTGTTTAGTCGTTATATGGAAGCAAATGAGACAAAAAAAAATCTAAAAAATCAACGGTAATCTTTAGCGACTTGAAACTTGCACATTATTGGACTAAAATTGAATGCGCTATAAAACTGTGTACTCAAAAAAATTCTAGAGCTTCTGAGAAAAAAGTTTGAAATTTAAGGGAAAGTTTGTTGCGCTTTTTTGCGGTCTTTTAAAAAGTTTAAAACATGGGTTTATGTGGGTTTTGTTAGAGAATGAACTGTATTTTAAATGAAAATTCTTAAAAACAAATAACTAAACATAAGTGGCAAACAATATCGCTTTGAAAGGGGGTGCTATAGATATGTCCAATACTGTAGTGTAGGCCCAAAAGTTAAAGAAGTTGTTCAACTCTAACAAATTATGAGTGCGGATGTTTTTGTTGTTGTATTATACAGCGTGGCGACGAATGACTGTTACCCAGGTTTTTTGAGAAATAAAAGGGTGCTTTATATATTTTGCGAAAAAAGTATTTTATTGTTAATTTTCCACAGATTTTACTTTAGTTGTATTACTTAGTTTTTAAATTTTAATCCTTATTTACATTTGCCAGTAGTGTAAACTTTGAGAGAAAAGTTTATTTGGCACGCAGGCCTTCGTCAGATAATTTATTCCATATCTTCTGTAACCATAAGCTAATTTTCTCCATTTTGAGTTGCTTATACTCCCCCCCTTTTGTCCAACATAAAGCCTCATACTCAAAAATTGAAAAAAAAAACTCGGAACTGGCGACTAGGACGGCCATTTATTCGACCAACCCAATACAGTTTTTATTTTTTTTTTTGTATTTTTTTATATAAGGCCTAAGGAAAAATACACCTGAAAAAGACTTGCGTGCCAAATAAACTTTTCTCTCAAAGTTTACACTGCTGGCAAATGTAAATAAGGATTAAAATTTAAAAACTAATTAATACAACAAAAGTAAAATCTGTGGAAAATTTTTTATAAAATACTTTTTTCGCAAAGTCTGTAAATTACCCTTTTATTTCTCAAAAAAAAACCTGGGTAACAGTTATTCGTCGCCACGCTGTAGTTTCTGAAGGTGACCTAAAGGTTCTTCTAAAATTTGAGCTCAAACAGTTTTTAAATCAATAGTTATGAACTAACTAATTTTCGCAAGTTAGCCATTAATTATCTATTAGCGTGACACATTTTTTAAATTTAATTTTACATTGTACATTAGATTTTCATTTTCATTTCATTTATTAATTCATTTTTGTACATGTGAGACTAATGTCCCTTAAAGTACATCGACTCATGGTAGACTGTAATATATAAGTACATTCTAAAATAACCTTATTACAGTAAATTCTTTACAATATTATTATATACGTTTATGTGCGAAATTTCAGAATTTAGCTCGATGTATGTGGTAAATCGACGATATTTTTGACGAAGATTTATTTTAGGTGCGCGATTTAGTAAAAAAAAAATCGCGTTGAGCACCCCCCCAAACGACCAACGATTTTTCTCGAATTTTCAGCAATATGTTTTTTCTAGACGCTTTCAAAGATTTTGATGCATCGCACATAAATTTAAAAAAATCGGGTTTTTTAATCAGTTTAGTAAACATTTCTTGACTGTAGAATGCTTTCTATGTCATCTTCATATGTGACAGGGAAAGTTAAAAAGGACCTACCGTTGGAAAAATTTGTTGACTAATACACATAATTTTTTTATCACCATAACAGTCTACAAGGGAGCGGTGTCACACCTGCATTACCGAGTGAGAATATATTTTTCACACCTCCAGCAATATCCTCCCGCTCTGAAGAGAATAAATTGAATAAAACTCCATTGATTCAATCAACATCAGGTGTTTTATATGTACATCGGACGGAGGGTTTACTACTCCCCAGAACTTTAACTTTGCCTTCCATACGTGAAGAAGAATTTCGTCGAACACTACTACGACGCGACACACATCTCTCATCGACACCATTACACCCTATCGGAGGATTAACGACTAACGACCTAAATTATGGAATCACTGATCTTGCCCCTGGTATACCGTGTCGGGAAGCTAGAACTTTACAATTAGAAATACCAGGTGGCATAAATTCTACTATCGAAGTTTCTGAAGTTCTAGGAACTATCGTAGCAACTGCTGAAGAACATCTAAATACTAGCCACATGGAAATGCCGGCAGAGGTATTGCAGGATCCTGGAACATTACAACCGGCTGAAACGCTTGAGCCCACTCCTTCAAATGAGCGTAGAAACTGGTTTGATGTGCTGAGACAGCGGCAAGTAGACCTGCGTTATGTGAAAGTGGTGCCGAATCGACGCAGAAAGCGCCATCATACACGTAGGCCACAAACTGGTAATAGAACATACAAAAATGCAAGAAATGAAATAAATGAGGAGATAGGACTACTTCAAGCTTTGCCGCCCATGCCAGCCCCGTTAGCCGAAGATGTATTTGAGCATATTGAATCGATCTCAACTATTATGGATAATCTAGTTGAATGGCAGCGTATGTTGAAATTATGCTATCAGGGTGCTGGAAATACATCTACGGCGGCGTTCTTGTCAGCATCTTACTACGCATACGATGTGGAAACGCCGATTGACGCTGACGTTCAACGATTGCAAATTAAACTGGATATTTTACAAGAGATTATACGCAACGTATCATTCGACATTACTAAGACGCCATTGCAGAGGAATAAACGATTTGCCGCTGTTGCTCTTAGTTTCTTAATAGAACTTCAGTCGGCCGAGATTATACAAATAAATGATAATGGGCACTGCGTTAAATTGATATAAGAGTATAAAGCCATTATACACTTGTATTCTTTCCTACTTCTGAATTGTTTTTAATTATTTAGATTTAATGTTGTTAGTTTTTGAACAATCTATTTACAAGTACACTGCCGGCAAAAAGTATTGGCACAGCTGCTTTTTTACAATATATGCAACAATTTTTACTGTAACATTTTTCCGACAATTAAAAAAAATATGGTTCATTCTACAACAAAAAACATAAAAATATAATTTCCAGGGTTCGGGAATATTCACTCACCTTCGTACGCGAACGCGAAGGTGAACGCATCAAATATTCCGTATTGATTCTCCTTCGCGAACGAAGCATAAAACCAGTCCAGATAGTTCGCGTTCGCGAATGTTATACGGTAGACAAACGTGCTCGATTATTTGCATAACCAGCCTTAATTTGCTTTAACTCATTCATTTTCCTCTTTAAAATGAGCATAAGCAGCCGAACAAATGCACGAAATTTTTGGGAATTAACTCGGATCCGGGGAATTTTCGATGACAACACTGGTAAAAACGGCCAGTTGTTGTCTTTTGTACAAGTAAGCAAACGAAGCAGTCGAGTTTCGCGTACGCGGTAGCCGAGTGGTGAGAGTTGCGAGCTACAAGCCTGTAGCTGCCAGGTTCGATATTCGGTTGGAGCGATTGCGAAATTTTTTTTTGTTTTTATTATTTATTTTATATTTTTTTATTTTATTTTATTTATATATTTAGTTTTACTTTATATTATTTTCATTTTCTTTATTTTATATCACGTTTCTTATTTTACTATTAGTTAATTTTAATTTTTAGAGATGAATTTTGTTAAAAATTCAACAACTAACTGAAAGTAACGTAAAAAAAATATAAAACTTATAAAAAAAAAGAATGAAAAAGAAATAAAAAAAGTATACTGGCCGTGGGACTCGAACCCACGACCTTGCGGGTGGTTTATTCGCATTACTGCCGTCTGTAAGGGTAAAATTTTAATTTGCATTTATGCTTATTAATTCAAATTAATTTTCTCCGTCTGTCTACCATATTAGGTAGAAAAAATTTCCGCTGTTGTTCGTACGCGTATGCATTGGTGGACCAAACAGCCTGCGTTCATATATGTAGCTATAAGTGGCAGCGATGCCTTCGCGAAGTTCACTGCTGTCGTTCTCCTTCATAAGTGAATGTAAATGCTTTGGCAAATATTCGCGGAAAGTTGGTGTGGCTAGAGATACTATTCTGTGCGAAGGCAATTTTGTCAATTGCATAAGATTTGCACCGTTCATTCGATTTTTAAAAATTAGGTGTCAAATGAAAGGGCTTGGCCTCTAGATGTGCAGTAAGGCTGTATTTTTTTAATACGGTTGGCACCTGCGCTTAAAATTATGATATTTACACCGTTCTCCCGATTTTCAAAAATGAGGTGTTAAATGAAAGGGCTTGACCTCTGGATGTGCAGTAAGGATATATTTTTTTATTTTTCAAAAATGAGGTGTCAAATGAAAGGGCTTGGCCTCTGGATGTGCAGTAAGGCAAGTGTAGTACTGCCGGCAGTGTATTTCGTAGCTAAAATTATTATTTCGAAGTATTACGAAAAAAGGCGCTTAAGAAAAACATCGGCGATGAAAGACGCATAACTTAGTTGACGGCGAAGAAAGACGTGTAAACATACTTAGATTTTACCTGGCCAAAGAGTATCACTTCAACATCATTCCCCAAAAACTCTGGGGTATTTACATACTGCTACACCCGCAAACACATTTGACCGCGAAAATAAGTTTACGCGTCTTTCTTCGCCGTCAAATATTTTAACGCGTCTTTCTTCGGCGTCAACTATGTTATGCGTCTTTCATCGCCGAGTTTTTCTTAAGCGCCTTTTTCGTAATACTTCGAGTCTTTCTGCACTAAAGTTTATTTATGCGTATTTTTCGCGGTCAACTTTTGAGCTAGCGCCTTTATTCGTGTCTAGTGACGAATTATATTAATATACGTTTTTTATTTTGTTATAGTCGCAACCCATGTGCATATAGTCCTCTGCAATAAGGGCACAACTCAAAATTCTGAAAAAAAGCAAAACCTTTACTACTCTTATGTGTCCCATAATATAGGGATGCCCAAATCAGCACATATGTGTCGCGGGCGGCTGCGCGTGCAAAGCTTTGCACAGCGGTGCTGGGCAAGCGCGGAAGCAAAAAGTTATCGGAAGGGGAAAACGAAGTCAACAGAATTGTGAGATTGTATGTGTGACAGTGATGGAAAATGAGTGTGCATTGGGCCGTTTTCGCCCCTTTCGGAAGCAGCACAATCGATTGATTTGTGGAACTATTTTTGCGTAACTCAATGCAACTAATAAATATTTCTTTCGGATCCGCAATTAAAAATATTTTTTTTTTACATTTAATCGTATGTGCTTAAACTGATAAATGATATAAACATAGAAATGCAAGCAGAAGAATCTCGCTTCCACATTCTGCATATGCGCTTAACATTTTTGTTTAAACAAATTTGTCGAAATTTCATCGCTAAAGCAAATATTCAATATCATTTAATATTAACTTTAGATTTAAATAATAATTTTCAGTGGTGGGCGAGTCCGAGATGTTTAAATGATCGGGATAGTACATTCAATTCGCGTAGATTTTTGAGAACTTTTTTCGTTGAAGGTGTTGCACTTTTTCTTCAATACTGAAATTTTTATACATCCAATTTGTATAAAGAAAATGCAAAAAAATATTAAAAATCAACATGAATTCTTAGCTGCACTTTCACTTTATAATACTAAAGTTGAATCGACTATAAAACTGCATACCGTCAGTTGGTGTCGAGCACTCATGCGGTGAGGATGTGATCGCGCTTTTATTGATTTTATTGCCGTCAATAAGCATTTTCGCGCTAGCACAACCTCAACAACAAAGTTACTATTAATGGATAAAAGAGACATCTTTTTGGATTCGGTAATAAGTTTTGACATTTTAATAGCATTTCAAGTGCTTATCAAAACTTTACGACACTCACATATTGACAAGATTTGCCCATTTATCTTAACTAGTGTTCGCCCAGCGGTTGAAATTCAACCGCTAAAATTAAGGATAGTTTATGTGAGTTGAGTTGAGCTGAAATAAAATTT